GAGGGAGGAAAGGAGGGGAGGAAGATATGGAAGGAATGGGAGGGAGGGAGGAAGGAGAGGGAGGAAGGGAGGAGAGGGAGAGATGGAAAGAAGGAAAGAAGGAAAGGGAGGGGAGGGAGAGATGGAAGGAAGGAAGGAATGGGAGGGAGGGAGGAAGGTAGGAAGAATATTGCAAACCTAGCATGTTTCCTTTCTAAGTTCCCTTCTTCTTCCCCATCAGGAGATCTGCTCTTCACCTCGGTTATTTTCAGACAATCAACACGAATGGCAGGTCAAGCAAGGCATGCTGGGGGATTGCTGGTTTCTCTGTGCCTGCGCCGCTTTGCAGAAAAATAAATACCTGCTAACCAAGGTAAAGACTCTCCCGCCACTCAGGGCGCAAGTCACTCAGAAGGCGAGATCTCTAAGCGAAGCCTATTGCATCCATTCCGTTTTATTTCGCCGTAATAAAATCTCCCTCCCCGCACCCAAGGCCTCACTGCAGCTGCAGCTACGCAACCAAACGAAACGATTCAAATTAAGCAAAAGCGTGCATTCCATGGAAGATTTCTGGAGATGGAGCAGGAGGCGAACGTTTTGGGGAAAAGCATTGTTCTCCCTGGATCCTGCTCTGCGTGCATTTTCAAACCCCCTCTGCTCTCCCTAAGGACTAGAACCTTGGGATATTCAGAAAGGTTCGACGGGAGGGCTTAAGCCCTCCGGCGTAGGAGACTGATGGCTGTTCCGACCAATAGTCTTCGTACCAACGAGCGGTTTCTTCTCTTATCCCAGGTTATCCCTCCAGGTCAGCCCAGCTGGAAGGATGAGAAATACCGAGGATGTTTCACCTGTCGCATCTGGCAGTTTGGCCACTGGGTGGAGGTGACCATCGATGACCGGCTGCCTTGTCTTGGGGGCAAGCTCTGTTTCTCCCAGTGCCAGACGGAAGGCGTCTTTTGGCTCCCTTTGCTGGAGAAAGCTTACGCCAAGTACGTGTGATCTTCATTCTGATCGCAGGGAGTCCTCGCTTTACGACCAACAGCTGAGCCCGAAATTTCCTTTGCTAAGCAAGACAGCCGTTAAGCCTGCATGAGCAGGGGGTTGGACTAGAAGACCTCCCAGGCCCTTTCCAGCTCTATTTGGATGGATGGATCGATTTTTCTGGCTTTTCTTGCCAACCGGGTTACTCACTTAACGACTGCAGGGATTCACTAACCACTGTGGCAAGAAAGGTCGTAAAATGGGGCAAAGCTCACTTCACAAATGTCTCACTTTAGCCACAGAAACCTTGGGCTCAATGATGGTCGTAAGTCGAGGACTATCTGTACAGCCCGAGAAAGTAGGGAAAATCCCTTTTGAGCTTCTTCATCCCTGCTCTGGGCTAAACTGAGAGCCGTGGAGGCGCAGTGGACAGAACGCAGCGTTGCAGGCTGACTCTCTGCCCACTGCCAGGAGTTCGATCCTGACCAGCTCAAGGTGGACTCAGCCTTCCATCCTTCCGAGGTCGGTAAAATGAGAAACCAGATTGTTGTGGGAGGGCAGCACATGCAAGTAAATGCAAGTAATGCTGACGTTGTAAACTGCTCAGAGAGTGCTGTAAAGCACCGTGGAGCGGTATATAAGTCTCAGTGCTATTGGTATTGCCCTTCCTTCCTTCCTTCCTTCTTTCCTTCCTTCTTTCCTCCCTCGCTTCCTCTCTGCCTCCCTCTCTCCTTCCTCCCATCCTCCCTCCCTCCTTCCTCCCCCCTTCCTGCCTCCCTCCTTCCTTCCTTCCTTCCTCCCTCTCCTTTCCTTCCTTCCTTCCTTCCTTCCTTCCTCCCTTCCTCCCTCCTCCCTCCCTCCCTGCCCCTCCCTCCCTCCCTCCCTTCCTTCCCTCCCTCCCAGTGGTTAGAATGCAATATTGCAGGCTAACATACTGCCCACTGCCAGCAGTTCGATCCTGACCTGCTCCAGGCTGACTCAGCCTTCCATCCTTCCGAGGCCGGTAAAATGAGGACCCAGATTGTTGGGGACAAGAGGCTGTGCAAACCGCTTAGAGCAGGGGTCCCCAACCCCCGGTCCGTGGACCGGTACTGGACGGCGGCATGCCAGCAACCGGTCCGCACAAACAAGAAAAGCCCCATCCGCGAGATGCAGGCAGCACACAAAACCACGCACTCTCCGGTCCGTGGAAAAACCTTTCCCCATGGAACCGGTCCCTGTTGCCCACAAAGTTGGTGACCTCTGTAAAGCACTGTGAAGATAGAAGTCTAAGTGCTATTGCTGTGATTTTTTTTCCCCTTGGCTGCGTCTCTTTGTCCCCCGTCTCCCAAGGTCATCCCCACGTACTGTGACAACTGTGTAATCCTACAGGTGTTCGGCTCTTTCTGCTTTCAGGGTTCATGGATCTTACGAGCAGCTCTGGGCAGGCCAGGTTGCCGATGCCTTAGTTGACCTGACCGGAGGCCTTGCAGAACGCTGGTCGCTCAAAGACCTGAGCCAAAACCCGGAACGCGAGCGGGCCGGCAAAGTCCTGGAGAAAACCGTGTTCAGACGGTTGATGGACCTGAAGGAGAAAAGTGTCATGAGCTGTTCCGTCTTCAGCTCACGGCAAGGTAGGGGAAGGGGAGAATTTTACACAGCCGCTTCCGTCTCGTCGTTCTCCCGCGGAAAGGTTTCATATCAAAATATCTTTCATTCCGTAAACTGTCTCTAACTTCCCTCAACCATTAACAGAATCCGCCCCTGACCGAGACTAGAAAACGAAGCACAGGTAGTCCTCAATTTTCAACCATCCGTTTAGTGACCGTTCAAAATTACAGCCGCGCTGAAAAAAAGCGACTTATGATCATTTTCACACTGATGACCTTTGCAGCCTCCCCGTGGTCACAGGACCAGAATTCGGATGCTTGGCAACTGACTCACATTTATGACAGTTGCAGCGTCCTGGGGTCGTCTGAGGCCCTTTTGCGACCTTCTGACAAGCAAAGTCAAGTGGGGAAGCCGGATTCACAAGAAAGGTCGTAAAATGGGACAGAATCCAGTTAGCAACCGTTTTGCTCAGCAATAGAAATTTTGGGCTCCGTTGCGGTCGTAAGTTGAGGACTACCTGTCATAAGCTCAGTAAAAAGAGCAGATGGGAAAATCTTTTCCTCAAACGTCCTCACAACCTCACAACTTTTTTCACACATAAAAAAAGAAGATCTGTAAACGCAAGCAAGGTGAATTAAAACCGTCTCCCAGGTTGAACCACACAATCACACAACCACAGAATGAACATCGCAGACGACACTCAAACTCCATGCCTCAGGAAGGACCAAGTTTCCGTAAAAATGTCTAATTTCTGGAGCCCATTTGTAGGGCTCATATTCTGCGCTCTTGAGATAAACCAACTGCTTTCCGGGCAGCGTGTCGGTGTCCTTCTTGCGACAACCCCTTTTGCTAGGATGGGGACCCACAAATTCCTGGCACGGTCCCACCAAGCAGGGCAGACCAGGAAATGGCCGGGTGATGTCAAGTGGATGGAGACCCATCCTCCCTGAAGCCACTCCCCCTCTTTGAAGCCCCTCCCACCACCCTCACCTAGCTTCCCAAGAGCTGCTGTGCCTAATGAAAGTTCTCAGAAATGGGATGAAATGCTGGTTACCACATTATCTTTTTTCTGCCCTTCAGGAACCAGCCAGCTGGGGGAATTCCACGCCTTCATTGTGGTCGACATGCAGGATCTTTCCAAGGTGTCCAGGAAAGAGACAATCCTGCTGCGGATCCGGAATCCCTGGGGGAGGCGCTGTTGGAAGGGACCCTGGAGGGAAGGGTGAGTAGACCAAGTGTTGACTCCAGCATCTACAATAGTGTTTCTGTCAAACCCGTCCCTACTTAAACCTCTAAGTCAAAACGATCCTTGGCACCATCTGTTGGGAAAGGAATAGTTTTATTAGAAGTCAAGTGCATTGCGATCAAGCACAGCCAGAACTGAGAATCGCACGCCGAAATCCCTCAGTTCAACTTTTCCCTCCCCTAGATGCCTCCCATCGCTAACACACACACATACACACACTCATCCCCAATCAGGTTCAACAAGATATTTTCAGAATGGTCACTTCAAGCGCAGGTTGGTATCTGTTGTGATTCCATGCCAGCCTGTGATCCCGGTAGTTGAGTCTGGGGAATCGGAGGAGGAGGAGGAGGAGGAGGAGGAGGGGCCTGGAGAGCCATCAGAGTCGGAGGGAGGCTCTGATGAGCTGCAGGACTTACAAACTAATGAAGAGGGTGCTCCTTCCACTCATGATCCAGCTGAGAGCCAGCTGTGCTGGGAAGCTGAGTCGGACTGGAGGAAGCACAGCTGGAAGACCTCATAATCGCTTGTAAACGTAGACAGGTCACACAAGTAGGACAGAGGGAGGCAATGGGGCGACTCCAGGGGAAGAGGAGAAAGCAGTGAGAAGCCATGACTTGGGGGCTGCATAACAAAAAGGGAATATGTGGGCAGGGCTGGTTGCTGGAGACAATCGTTTGCAAAGAACTTCAGAATCAAAAGACCATGGTCTGTTTATTTTGCCTGTGAGTTATTTCCTGTTTGACTCGTGCTCCGTTTTGCTTTTGGACAAGGTCTCCATTGGAAAAGTTCTGTTGCTTTGGTTTTCTGGGACAATTATCAGGTCTGTAACTCAAATAAAAAGAGTTTATTTTCCAGTCTACTGTTAAAAGAGGGGTTGTCTTTGGGAAGTAACAAGGACGTACGTAGGCTGGGACAGAACAGTGTCCAGCTGCCTTCTTCTCCTAACCGGATGACCTTGAGGCAGCATCTCAGGGATATACGGATGTTACTTTCATTTCCCCCCCAAGCATCCTCACTCCCATCCACCTTTCCCAGAGCTCATTGCAGATTGTCACTGCATGGTAGCAAACCACAAGCAAGCATAAGGTGGCAGCTGACAATCTCTCAATTTTGGCTAGTTTAAAGCGTGTGGACTTCAAATCCCAGAATTCCCTATCCTGCAGGTATAGAGTTCAGTACTTAGGATTTCCCACACAGCACGTATGGAGTTTGGTGTGTTCATTTTATCCATTTCGTTCTCAGTTTTAATGTTTTAACTTTCAGCCGCCCGACGTTTTTAACCTTTTAATTGTTTTACACTGTTTATTTGTTTATTTATTTATTTACTATTGCAGGGGTAGGCAATCTTGGCTCTTTTATGACTCGTGGACTTCAACTCCCAGATTTCCTGAGCCAGCATGGGGGAACTATGCCCCCCTTTATGACTTGTGGACTTGAACTCCCAGAATTCCTGAGTCAGCGTGGGGGAACTATGGCCCCTTCATGAATTGAGGAGTTCAACTCCCAGAATTCCTGAGCCAGCATGGCTCAGCTTGGAAACCTCTCCCTTTCCCCTCAGCATGGCTGGCTCAGGAATTCTGGGAGTTGAAGTCCACGAGTCATAAAAGAGCCAAGGTTGCCTACACCTGACCTATTGAATTTATTTGCTGCCCATCTTGTAACGAACGATTCTGTATAGCTTCCAGATAACTCTGGAATATTTATGGTAAATTGTACAATATTTACGGCATTGCAAGCTGCCAAAACCGGTTCATTTTTTTGCAACCGTATTAATATTCACTGTGGTTTTTTGGTCTTCAGAGGTCCAGGGTGGAGTCAGCTAGATCCGGTGGTGGGCGCTGAACTTTTATCCCAGCTACAGGAAGGAGATTTTTGGGCTGAAGAAGAGGAATTTTTCACTGAATTTGATGAGGTCATCACCGGGTACCCAGTCACGGAAGAAGGACAGCTTCAGAGCCTTTATACTGGTAGGTGGTGCTGGAAAAGAGCCAGTTTTTAAAGGAAAAACCCCTTTTTGCAAAATACAAGGACAGATAGTCCTTGACTTACAACAGCTCATTTAGTGACTGTTCGAAGTTACAACCGCACTGAAAAAAGTGACTTATACACACACACACACACACACACACACAAATGTTTAATCTACAAAACCTTAAGAAATTAGATTAAACATTTGTGTTTATGATTTTATCCTGGTGATCACCTTATTTTATTTCACATTATGTGTATACCCGGGATTCGTGTTTTTAATACTGTTAAGGACACACACATATAGACAGACAGACAGACAGACAGATAGATTTTATTAGTTTTTATAGGGTTAGGGATAAGGTGTGTCGAGGTTAGGGTTGGGATTTGGGTTAGGGTTAGGGTTAGGGTTGGGGCTGGGGTTTTTCCAAATAACATTTTCAATATTTAGGAAACAGCATAATGTCTGGGTTCATGTGTTAAACAAACAATAATAGATAATAGTTAATTATCATAAACAATATGTTAATTCATCACTCGATAGCCTTCTTGCTAATATATATTCAAAATTACATATCACATTCCTTTCTCTCTAACTTGTTTTTCTAGCCATTGATAGAAATTATCTCATGTTCTAAAGTAATAATAATAATAATAATAATAATAATAATAGTAGTAGTAGTAGTAGTAGTAGTAGTAATAAAGTTGGAAGGGACCTTGGAGGTCATCTAGTCTAACCCCCTACTCAGACAGGAGACCCTATACCATTTCGGACAAATGGCTGTCTAGTTTCTTCTTAAAAACTTCCAGTGTTGGAGCATTCACCGCTTCTGGAGGCAGGTTGTTCCACTGGTTAATTGTTCTGACTGTCAGGAAGTTTCTCCTTAGTTCCAGGTTGCTTCTCTCCTTGATCAGTTTCCACCCGTTGCTTCTCGTCCTGCCTTCAGGTGCTTTGGAGAATAGCTTGACTCCCTCTTCTTTGGGGCAGCCCCTGAGATATTGGAACTCGGCTATCATGTCCCCCCTCGTCCTTCTCTTCGTTAAACTAGACATCCCCAATTCCAGCAACCGTTCCTTATATGTTTTAGTCTCCAGTACACTGAGCCTTCTTTCTCTTTTATCTTTAAAGTCAATCTATCCATTTCTGCACACTCTAGAATTTTCTTAATTAGTACTTCTTTAACTGGTAAGTTTTCATTTTTCCAATGTTGGGCAAATACAATTCTTGCTGCCATTAATACGGTAATATTAAATATCTGCAATCTTTCTCATAATTAGCTCCTGTTATTCCTAACAAAACTTATGACTGTTTTTCACACGACCATTGCAACGTCCCCGGGGCCACATGATCCAAATTCAGACACTTGGCCACTGACTCATATTTATGACGGTCGCAGTCTCCCAGGATCGTGTGATCCCCTTCTGACCAGCAACGTCCATGGGGACGCCAGATTCACTTTACAACCGTGTTACTCACTTAACAACTGCAGAGATTCACTTAACAGCGGTGGCAAGAACAGTCGTAAAATGGGGCAAAATTCACTTAGCCACTGTCTTAACTTAGCGACAGAAAATTTGGGCTCAACTGTGGTCGTACGTAGAGGACTCCCTACAGTTGAATAGCCAAGATGCAGATAGGGTAGGTTTCAAAAAAACGTCTCTTGCCTCAGATCTTTCTTTCTGCACATGCTCAGAGTTCACGAAGAGAAGGGGGGTCCGAGAAGGGTCACCTCGGCCTCGTGTTCCGGATGTTGCTAGGCAGGGCCTCCTTGTTTCTTCTCCTTTTCTTAAGGACTATCTGTAGTCCTCAACCTATGACCGCAATTGAATCCGAAACATCCGTCGCTAAGGGTGACATTGGTTAAGTGCATTTTGCCCCCTTTTACGACCGTTCTTGCCACCGTTGTTAAGCGAATCACTGCAGTTGTTAAGTGAATAAGACAGCTGGTAAAGGAATCTGGCTTCCCCCGTTGACTTTGCTTGTCAGGTCGCAAAAGGGGATCACGTGACTCTGGGACGCTGCGACCGTCGTAAGTATGAACCCATCTGTCAAGCCTCCGAATGCTAATCACGTGACCCCGGGGGAAGCTGCAACGGTCGTAAGTGTGAAAAGCGGCCGTAAGTCGCTTTTTCCAGTGCCGTGGTAACTTCAAACGGTGACTAAACAAACTGTTGTAAGTTGAGTACGGCTTGTGTAGTCCAGGGCTTTTCAACCAGTGGTACGGGTACCACCTGTGGTACATTGGCACCTGGCAGGTGGTACGCGACCATCCTAGAAAAGTAGCGGGGGAGGGGAACGAGCTGAACCGGTGGCAGCACCGCACAAGCCTGCGTGAGAGATGGCTGGAGCTGCAGGGCTGTCAGGGCTCAGTGGAAGCACCAGGATCAGTGCCGCTTTCCAGCTGATCGGCGCTTATTCGAGGCTGTCAGGGCTCAGCGGAAGCGCCAGGATCCGCACCAGGCTCCAGCTGGAGCTCGGCGCTGATCCTGGTGCTTCTGCTGAGCCCTGAAGAAGCACCAATCATCTGGAAAGCAGCACTGATCCTGGCGCTTCTGCTGAGCCCTGAAGAAGCGCCGATCAGCTGGAATGTTGCAGCATCTCCAGGGTCTTGTGATTTACATCCAGATGCTTGGCAACCGATTCATATTTATGACGGTCACAGTGTCCCCGGGTCATGTGAAGGGACCAAAACCTGCTGCAACCACCCAGCAGACGGGGGGAATAAAAACCAAACACCCCCCACCCCACCCCCGCTGCCAATCCTCAAGAGAAATGCTCACAACAATGGAAACCTCGGACAGGAGGAAGAGCGCGGCCGGGCGGGCAGGCAGGTGTCTTGCTCGGCTGTGGCTTGGGGGGCACTTTTTTCAGTGCCATTGTAACTTTGAACAGTCACTAAGCGAACTGTTGTAAGTCGACGACTACCTGTACTTTATCACTTTTTTCCTTTTGGTTTTTTTTGGGGGGGTCATCAAGTTTTTGACACCTTGCTGGGCGACGGGTGGTACTCGGATGTTGCCATATCCTAAAAGTGGTACAATGGGCGAAAAGGTTGAAAAGCCCTGGTGTAGGGTTTCCTGCTTGAGTAGGGGGTTGGACTGCAGGACCTCTAAGGTCCCTTCCAATTCTTGTGTTCTGTTGTTCTGTTTCTGCTTACCTCAATAAAAAGCCGCATGGGTCTCAAGCCGCATCAGCAGAGTCGTGACGCGTATCCTTTTCCCCTCCCGACAGACAAAGTGCTCAGCCACACGCAGAAGCTGTACGGATCCTGGGTGCGAGGGCAGTCGGCCGGGGGTTGCCGTAACAACAGCACCTTCCCCACGAACCCCAAATTCTGGCTGAGAGTCTGTGAGCAGAGCGAGGTCTGCATCGCCCTCCTGCAGAAGCCCCGGAAGCACAGCGCAGATTGGGCCGGCAGGATTCGTGCCTGGCCTCGCCTCCCGGAAGCGGATCCCTCCTTGGTGGATAACGTCCGAGGGAAGAATTACCACGCCTTGGGCTTGCACATCTGGAAGGTAGGAGAGACGAGCCGGGCCTACAGGCAGACGAGCCCTTTTTTCCCTGGGAAGTAAGATTCTAGTCCTCAAGATTGCTGAGAGAAATGAATCTCTCTCTGTGGCATGAAGCTCTCGGTTGGCCTTTCCGGTGTCAGGAGGAAATGGGAATAAGATTGTTGTGATGTCTCCTGGACCTTCTGTCTGAGGCACAGCTGCCACAAAACCAGACAGTGAGGCGGTTTGTTAAGTCGCTGTCAATCGTGCCTCTGTTAAAAAGTGCTGGTTTGCACGTTCCACTAATAAATTTTGCTTTTCTTATAAGCGGGTAGGTGAACCGGAGGACTTGACTAATCAAATGAATTTTGCAGCCCAGGAACAACTGAATCTAGTTATATGGTTTGAGTTAAGTTGATTCAAAACTGCCTAGGACAGTGGTGGCGAACCTATGGCATGCGTGCCACAGGTGGCACGCACAGCCCTCTCTGTGGGCACGTGCGCCGTCACCCCAGTCCGAGGCCTTCAGCTGGGTTTTATAAAACATTTTCGCTTTAGACCTCCGCCGCCGTCTGCAAAAAAAAAAAAGGTTCAATCAATCAATTTCAACTTCTTGCGGGGGGAAAAAAAGACCTCGCAAAGTTGGAATTGATTGATTGACTTTTTAGTCCCACCCAGTCTGCCGTTATCACTGCAGCCACGCCCACCCAATGGGCCACGTCCACCCAATGGGCACCCGACGATACATAAGTGGGTTTTGGGTTGCCATCACTGGCCTAGGATGGACAAAGTAACTTCAATCTTCCAGGCTAGGGGTGGGGTGGGGGACAGGAGAATAAAAAAGTCAAGATGGCTTCCACAAAGAAGGGGTGTGTGTGTCAAGCTATTCTCCAAAGCACCTGAAGGCAGGACAAGAAGCAATGGATGGAAACTCATCAAGGAGAGAAGCAACCTAGAACTAAGGAGAAATTTCCTGGCAGTGAGAAAAATTAATCAGTGGAACAACTTGCCATCAGAAATTGTGAGTGCTCCATCACTGGAAGTTTTTAAGAAGAGACTGGACAGCCATTCGTCTGAAATGGTATAGGGTTTCCAGCCTGAGCAGGGGGTTGGACTAGAAGACCTCCAAGGTCCCTTACAGCTCTGTTATTCTGTTCCACGTACTCCCTCAGCTTCCGGCTACAACTGAGCCAAAAAATTCTGTTGTTAAATGAGACATTTGTTAAATGGGTTTTGCCCCATTATACGAGCTGTCCTTGCCACAGTTTTTAAGTGAATCACTGCAGTTGTTAAATTAGTAGCCTGGTTGTTACATGGATCATGGCTTCCCCACTGACTTTGCTTGTCAGAAAGTCGTAAACGGTGACCACAGGATCCTGGGACACAGCAACCAGTTGAACCAGTTGCCAAGCATCTGGATTTTGATCACGTGCTCAATGGGGGACGCCGCAAAGGTTGTAACTGTGAAAGATGGTCATAAATCCCTTTTTTTCAGTGCTATTGTAACTTTGAACGGTCACTAAATGAACTGTTGTAAGTCGAGGACTATATTCTGTTATCTACTTCCTAGCTGCCCCCTATCCTCGGCAAATCATGGCTTTACTCCACCCACAGATTTTGCCAAGTGGATGCTTTTTCTCCCCCAAGCGGTGTGGTCTGCCTTGTAAAATTGGAGACGCTGCAAGTTGGACAGTTGCTCGCATTAAAATTAAATGGTGCTGAATAACAAATCCTTTCTTTCCCCCTTCCTTAATGGATTTTTTATAGGAAAATAAAATGCCCAAAGGACAAAGGGAAGCGATGTCATTTGGGTCTCTCCTAAACTTCCTTCCAAGACTTTGGCTTGTGATTTGACCGGCCATCTCCACACACTCAGAAGGAAGCCAGCTTGTGCGGTATTTAATTTGGGGAGTTTTCCCGTAGGGGAGTTTTTTCTCTACCATCCACTAACTTTTCTCTGAAGGCGAGGACCGCTTGTATTCAGCTTGTCAGGATATTGATTTAAAGTCTAACCAGCTTGTATAATGTGAGATGAATGATGCAATGTTAGGAATGACTCAGCAGAAGTCTGTATCCCTTTAAGAGCTTGAGTATAAAAGGGAAGGCCTTGCTGGAGTCTTTCTCTCTCTCGTCCATTTCCTGCTGTAATTACTGTGGGTTGGAGTTTGCTGTATCACCACATGTATGTAATAATAATAATAATAGTAGTAGTAGAGTAGTAGTAGTAGTAGTAGTAGTAGTAGTAGTAGTAATAATAATAATAATAATAATGTTGGAAGGGACCTTGGAGGTCATCAAGTCCAACCCCTTGCTCAGGCAGGAAACCCTATACCATTTCAGACAAATGGCTGTCCAGTCTCTTCTTAAAAACTTCCAGTGTTGGAGCCTTCACAGCTTCTGGAGGCAGGTTGTTCCACTGGTTAATTGTTCTAACTGTCAGGAAGTTTCTCCTTAGTTCTAGGTTGCTTCTCTCCTTGATTAGTTTCCATCCGTTACTTCTTGTCCTGCCTTCAGGCGCTTTGGAGAATAGTTTGACTCCCTCTTCTTTGTGGCAGCCCCTGAGATACTGGAACACTGCTATCATGTCCCCCCTCGTCCTTCTCTTCGTTAAACTAGACATACCCAATTCCAGCAACCGTTCCTTATATGTTTTAGCCTCCAGTCCCCTCATCATCTTTGTTGCTCTTCTCTGTACTCTTTCTAGAGTCTCCGCATCTTTTTTACATCGTGGTGAGTAAAATTGGATGCAGTATTCCAAGTGTGGCCTTAGCAAGGCCTTGTAAAGTGGTATTAACACTTCACGTGACTTGGCTGGTATTTTGTTTCTAGTGTATATTTGTAGATAGTGTATGATAAACCACCCTTTAATACAAACCACTCTTCACTGTATTTACTCCTGGGTTAACTCAGCGCAATAAGACCGGGCATGCTCTGACATAGCTCTCTGCTGCTCTCTTGCCTTCCAGATTGAGAAGAAGCAGTTCAACCTTCCCAAGACCCTCTCGGCTCCCCCAGTTGTGAGCACGGCCTGTCATTCCTTCAACCGAGAGGTACACCTCCGTTGTGACCTGTCTCCTGGATACTACCTGGTGGTTCCCAGCACTTTCCTGAATAACACGGAAGGGAACTTCCTGCTCCGGGTCTTCTCCAGTGGAAGAATTTCTCTCAGGTACCCCCCAGGGTGGGCGAGGGCGGGACTGGGAAAGAGGCAGGCGGACCCTTGAATCGGGAGACGCTACGGGCAAGTGCTCGGCTTACGAGCACAACGGGGCCCGAAATTTCAGTGGTTAAGTGAGACATTGGTTTTGTCCCATTTTACAACCTTTCTCACCACAGCGGTTAAGGGAATCCCTGCAGTCCTTAAACCAGCGAAACGGTTGTTAAACGAATCCAGCCTCCTCGTTGACTTTTTCTTGTCACAAGAAGAGGTCGCAAAAGGGGATCCCATGACCCCAGGATACGGCGACCGTCACAAATAGGAATCAGTTGCCAAGTATTTGAATTTTGATCACTGCTGCAATCGTTTGTAAGTGTGGGGGGAAAAAGGCCACAGGTCACTTTTTTCAGTGGCGTCCGTGGTCATTTTGAACGGTCACTAAATGAACGGTTGTAAATCAAAGACTCCCTGTACAGTAACTCTGACAAGAAAAGCCTCATGGTAGATAAACTTTTTTTAATAATAATAATAATAATAATAATAATAATAATAATAATAATAATAATAATAATAATAATAATAATAATAATAATAATAAAAAAGATGGAAGGGACCTTGGAGGTCATCGAGTCCAACCCCCTGCTCAGGCAGGAAACCCTATACTATTTCGGACAAATGGCTGTCCAGTCTCTTCTTAAAAACTTCCAGTGTTGGAGCATTCACCGCTTCTGGAGGCAGGTGGTTCCACTGATTAATTGTTCTCACTGTCAGGAAGTTTCTCCTTAGTTCTAGGTTGCTTCTCTCCTTGATTACTTTCCATCCGTTGCTTCTTGTCCTGCCTTCAGGTGCTTTGGAGAATAGCTTGACTCCCTCTTCTTTGTGGCAGCCCCTGAGATATTGGAACACCGCTATCATGTCCCCCCTCGTCCTTCTCTTCGTTAAACTAGACATACCCAATTCCAGCAACCATTCCTTATATATTTTAGCCTCCAGTCCCCTGATCATCTTTGTTGCTCTTCTCTGCACTCGGTCTCTTGCCAGTGAGATCAAGCTGTCTGTGCTGGACAACACCATCCACGAAGAATTCCCGGGAGGCGAGTGGGAGACGGCGCAGCTGGAGGGATCGTGGAAAAAAGGCCACAGCGCCGGAGGCAGCCGGAACTTCCCTTCCTTCCATACCAATCCCTGCTTCCCGTTGTCGGTTCCTGCCGGGTTGGGACAAAGAAGCATCAAGGTCTCTCTCCATCAGCACTGCCCGGATAACAAGTGCCGTCCAATTGGGTTTCATATCTTCCAGGTAATATTTAGGTTCACAGTTGCTGATTGAATTACACCAGCGTCTGTCCCACAGGTGCTTTTTTTCAGGAGGCAACTGGACTTTCTCGTTTTTCTTTTGAAGACGTTTCGCTTCTCATCCTGGAAGCTTCTTCAGCTCTGACTTGATAGTGGGGAATGGAAAGATTTATACTCCTTGCAGACAGCTGGTCATTTGCCTTCTTTTAGAAGGCAAATGAGGCCACTTGGAGGTTTATCTGCGTCCTCAGGGACACCTGAGTATTGCAAACAGGTGTGGAGCCTTGGCACTGTCGAAAGGACTCTGTTGTAGACTGGAGATAGATGGTATCGTATCCCTCCCCCTCAACATAGATGACCTCCAAGTGGCCTCAACGGCAATTCTCAGTCATCCAGGTCATGGTTGTCCCACAGGTGCTTTTTCAGGAGGCAACTGGACTATCCTGTTTTTCTTTTGAAGACATTTCTCATCGAAGAAGCTTCTTCAGCTCTGACTGGATAGTGGGGAATGGAAGGATTTATACTCCTTGTAGACAGCTGGTCATTTGCCTTCTCTTAGAGAATCGTTGAGGCCACCTGGAGGTTTTATCTGTGTCCTCAGGGTCACCTGAGGATTGCAAACAGGTGTGGAGCCTTTTTGGCACTGTCGAAAGGACTCTGTTGTAGACTGGGGATAGATGACAGCTGGTCATTTGCATTCTTTTAGAGAGTCGTTGAAGCCACTTGGAGGTTTACCTGTGTCCTCAGGATCACCGGAGTGATGCAGATGGGTGTAGAGCCTTCTTGGCTGCAGGATGTTTTCTGCCCTTTGTGCCTTCACTGTTGAAGACGCGCACACAGGCTGTTGGGGATGAGTCCGTGTTGTCCGCATCTCAAACTGAAGCGCAAATGGTTCCTGTAGTCTGCAATGTTTTCTCGAAATCCGTTCATGTTCCCGCACCGCTCGAAGGGTGTTCCTCCCAAAGTGCATAGCTAAATGTCTATCCTGCATCCAAGAAGGCTCCACGCACATTTGCTCTATGCAGGTGACCCCGAGGAGACAGGTCAACCCCCAAACGGCCTCAACCAAACTCTGAAAGAAGGCAAATGACCAGCTGTCTGCAAGGAGTATAAATCCTTCCATTCCCCCACCATCCATCCAGTCAGAGCTGAAGAAGTTTCTTGGATGAGAAGCGATACGTCTTCAAAGAAAAACAATAACAAGAAAGTCCAGTTGCCTCTTGAAAAAAGCATCTTTGGGACAAAGATGACTCCACTTCCTTAGGGTCTTGCGAAAGAACAAAGTGGAACAACGACTGATGACCTTCTTTTACCGGTCCACTATAGATAGCATCCTCTCACATTGTATTATGGTGTGGTATTCTGGCTTGACAGCCGCGGATAGAAAGACACTACAGAGGGTGGTGAGTACAGCACAAAACATCGTGGGCTGTCCCCTGATACCACTAGATGACATCGCTAGGGCCCACTGCCTTAGAAGAGTGAGGAAAATCCTCAGGGACAACTCGCACCCCGGTCAGCACTTCTTTACTCTCCTACCATCGGACAGGAGATATAGAAGCATAGCAACAGGTTGAAGAACAGTTCCTACCCATGGGCTGTCAGACTCCTGAATGGGAAATAACTCCGTGTAGGATAGACTTGCGGGGCCAGCGCGTTGTGCAATAAGTTCACGTGGTGTAATAAGATTGTGTGTTCGTTGTCACTGTGAGTTGTGTCGGGGGAGGGGGTGCACGAAGGGAGGCTTAGCCGATCTCATTGTGCACATGTTGTACTTTGACAATAAAGGTTGCTTTGATTTGATGACCTGGATGATTGAGAATCTCTATGGAGATACACCAGTGTCTCTCAACCTCGGTCACTTGAAGGTGTTCTGGACTTCAGCTCCCAGAATTCCCCAGCCAGCATGGCTGTGTTCGTCATAAACACGAGTCAGTTGCCAAGCATCCAAATTTCGATCACCTCACCGTGGAGATGGTGCCGTGGTCGCAAGTGTGAAAAATGGTCGTAAGTCACTTTTCTCAGCGCTGTCATAACTAAATGAATTGTTTAAGTCGAGAACCACCTGAAATTCGCACGCCATCCCATAATCTGGACTTTTCTACTTTAGTTCCTCTTCTCCTCAGCATCCCCATCTTTGTCATGGGGAAATACTGACTGCCCTGTGCACTGGTGTTGGTCTGTTTATTCAGACATGACAGCCAATCATGTAATCTGTGGTTTTCAAATCAGTTTCAAACAAAGGCTTTCAAACCCGGAATGCTAGCTATCTGTGGCCAAGATCTGAGATCGACTTCTGAGTCAACCCATCCTAAAATGGAAGGGGTGTCGATGTATTTAATAAAGTGTATGGCACCTACAGAGGTCATGCAGTCACTGACATATAAATTTAGTTTAAATAAAGCATCAGCAAATACAAACACACACACACACACACACACACAACTTACGAACACAATTGAGCCCAAAATTTCTGTTGCTAAGCGAGGTAATTGTTAAGCGAATTTTGCCCCATGTTACAACCTTTCTTGTCATAGTTGTTAAGTGAATCGCTGCAGGTGTTAAATTAGCAACACGGTTGTTAAGTGAATCTGTCTTTCCCCATTGAGTTTGCCTGTCAGGAGGTCGCAAAAGGGGATCACATGATCCCTTGGACAATGCAACAGTCAGAAATATGAACCGGTTGCCAAGCTTTAGAATTTTGATCATGTGACCATGGGGATGCTGCAAAGCCTAGGCCAGGGGTGGGGAACCTTGGCTCTTTTGTGACTCGTGGACTTCAACTCACAGAATTCCTGAGCCATCATGGCTCAGCATGGAAACCTCTCCCTTTCCCCTCAGCATGGCTGGCTCAGGAATTCTGGGAGTTGAAGAGCCAAGTTTGCCTACCCCTGGCCTAGGCCTGTATTTCTCAACCCTGGCCACTCGGAGATGGGTGGACTTCAATTCCCAGAATTCCTGAGTGAGCATGGGGAAACTATTACCCCCTTGATGACTTCTGGACTTCAACTCCCAGAATTCCTGAGCCAGCATGGCTCAGCTTGGAAATCTCTCCCTTTCCCCTCAGCATGGCTGGCTCAGGAATTCTGGGAGTTGAAGTCCACGAGTCATAAAAGACTACCCCTGACCTAAGTGATAATATATTAAGATAAAACCAGAATAAAATCACCATAACATGGAGCCATGGAATTGCAATGGGAGAGATATTATAGTTCTTTAATTATAAAACAATTATATTTTTATGCATTTTATTATTTATATTTATAATGTAATTATACTTATTTGATGACATAATTATACAGTTATAAAGGCCGTGGATATCCGAAACATAAAATGAGATTACAGGGAAGACTTTCTTATTCCTTCTCAGGTTCCCAGTGACAACAACCGGGTGAAAATGCCTTCCACAGCTTTCCTGCAATTGGAGCCAGTAGTTAGTTGCGTGCCTCATTGCTACTCTCAGGAAATAAGTCAGACCTGCCGGCTGCCTTCAGGAAATTACGCCATTGTCCCCTCCACGTACTTGCCTGACACGGAGGGCAGCTTCACGGTGATTGTAGCACGGAAGATAGACAGGTAAGGAGATAATAATAATAATAATAATAATAATAATAATAATAATAATAATAATAATAATAATAATAATAATAATAATAATAATAATAATAATAATAATAAAGTTGGAAGGGACCTTGGAGGTCATCTAGTCCAACCCTGCTCGGGCAGGAAACCCTATATCATTTCAGACAAATGGCTGTCCAGTCTCTTCTTAAAGATTTCCAGTGTTGGAGCATTCACCGCTTCTGGAGGCAGGTTGTTCCGCTGGTTAATTGTTCTCACTGTCAGGAAGTTTCTCCTTAGTTCTAGGTTGCTTCTCTCCTTGATCAGTTTCCACCTGTTGTTTCCTGTCTTGCCTTCAGGCGCTTTGGAGAATAGCTTGACTCCCTCTTCTTTGTGGCAGCCCCTGAGATATTGGAACACTGCTATCCTGTCCCCCCTCATCCTTCTGTTCATTAAACTAGACTTACCCAATTCCAGCAACCGTTCCTTATATGATTTAGCTTCCAGTCCCCTAATCATCTTTGCTTCATAGCCACTCAGCCATCCAACCTTCTTCAACCATATGTGGCAGCAACTCTTCAGAATTTCATCCAGCCAACCTGGCTGAGAATTTAGGAGATTTTAATTCCAATTTTTTTCTGGAGCACAGCAAGTTGTTTGAAAGCCATTCTAGATCAGAGTTTCTCAACCTTGGGATCTGTTAATATCTCCCAGAATTCCCCAGCCAACATGCAGGTAGACAAAGGATCTCATTTGATTCCACTCCTGAACAGGAGATTGGACTTGAGGACCTCACTGGGCCTTTTCAAGCCTTAGCTGAGGTATTTGTCATAATCCTTCATTTGTACTTAGTGGATGGATAGATAGATGGAAGGAAGAAAGGAAGGAAATTGTGTGGGTGGATGGATGGATGGATTGGAAGAAGCAAGGAAAGATGGATGGAAGAAGGAAGGAAGGAGGGGAAGAGGGAAGGAAGGGGGAGGAAAGGAAGGAAGGAGTGGATGGATGGAAGGATAGGAAGCAAGGAAAGAAAGATGGATGGAAGAAGGAAGGAAGGAGAGGGAATAGGGAAGGAAGGAGAGTGAGTATATGAATGGATGGATGGATGGGAGGAAGCAAGTAAAGATGGATGGTAGAAGGAAGGAAGGAGGGAGGGAAGAAAGGAAATTGTGAGTGGATGGATGGATGAATGAATGAATGAATGGGAGGAAGAAAGGAAAGAAAAGATGGATGGAAGAAGAAAGGAGAGGGAAGAGGGAAGGAAAAGGAAGGAAGGGGAGGGAAGGAAGGAGAGGAGGAAAGAAGGAAGGAGAGAGTGGATGGATGGATGGGAGGAAGCAAGGAAAGATGGATGGAAGAAGGAAGGAAGGAGAGGGAAGGAAGGAAGGGAGGAGTGGATCGATGGATGGGAGGAAGCAAGGAAAGAAAGATGGAAGAAAGAAGGAAGGAGAGGAAAGGAAGGAGGGAAGGAAGGAAGGAAGGAGAGTGAGTAGATGGATGAATGGATAAATGGATGGATAGGAAGCAAGGAAAGAAAAATGGAAGAAGGAAGGAAGGAAGGAAGGAGGACCATGGGCAATGACATCTTAAGAGATCATCTTTAGTGCTCCTAAAAAAATCGCCACTTCCTGCAGTTGAACATCGGAGCTGTTATCCTGCGTTCTGCTCTGTGAAGACCCGATGTCCTTTTCCTGCTGTTAGCAATGAAGAAAAAACCTGAAGCTCCGAGGAATTCTCCAGGGAAGCCCCTGATAGGCCCCGTTCTCTGTTTTTGGCTCTTCTCACAAGATTGTGTTTGCTTTTATACAGGAAGAGCATTTGGAGCAAGGAGACTTTGGGGCAAAGACTGCAAGAGGTGAGCCCTTCCTTTGTTTGGGATTTGGCAGCGTACGGTTCCACCCGGGCGATTTTATCCTTCCAAAGAAAACAACATGGTTGACCGCATTAAGTAACCAAAAAACTCATTCACCAAGGAGAAAATTTTTAAAAAGATCAGAATAATAGCGGGTGGGGAAAGGAAACTACAGGCATGGCGAGAAGGGTGCAGCTCCATTGCCACTGTGTTAAAAAAACTGTAAGAGAATAATAATTTTTTTTAATTTAAATTTAAATTATTTAAAAGCGCTTCTTTCAAGGCTCCCCCCCCCCCAAAAGGACATTTCCACTAGGCCAGGGGTAGGCAACCTTGGGTTTTTTATGACTGGTGGACTTCAACTCCCAGAATTCCTGAGCCAGCATGGGGGAACTATGGCCCCTTCATGACTCGCGGACTTCAACTCCCAGAATTCCTGAGCCAGCATGGGGCAATTATGACCCCTTCATGACTCGTGGACTTCAACTCCCAGAATTCCTGAGCCAGCATGGCTCAGCTTGGAAACCTCTCCCTTTCCCCTCAGCGTGGCAGGCTCAGGAATTCTGGGAGTTGAAGTCCAAGAGTCATAAAAGAGCCGAGATTGCCTAGCCCTGGCCTAGGCTAAACCTTTGGCATACTTGAGTCTGTCTGTTTCGGGAATTTTTGTCCCTTCTATAATTAAGGACTTTTTTTCCCTTTTAGCCCAAACCTGGGGGGGGGGGAAACATAGAAAGTAAAACACTTCAAATCTTCTTGCTCAAAACTCCAGAAATACAAAACTTATAGTGTACACTTTTTGCCAGTCTGAAATATATCGAGCTACAGGGAATCCCCGACTTACGACAGTTCATTGAGCGACGGTTCAAAGTTACAACGGTATTAAAAAAAAATGACAACAATCGTTTTTCACACGGTTGTTGCAACATCACCTGATCCAAATTCGGACACTTGGCAATTGATTCATATTTATGACGGTTGCACCCTCCCGGGGGCCGTGTGATCCCCTTTTGCGACCTTCTGACAAGCAATGGAGAAGCCAGATAACTTAATAAGCCAACTAAGCATGGGGATTTGAGATTGGCAAACACCTGGGGGTGTTTGCTGGCTCTCTCCATCTTTTTTACCTTTATATATTTTTGTACCTTGTCAGACTCACACAGCGAGATGGACAATGTACAAATTTGATCAATCAGTGAATGCGCTATCCTGATGCCTATTTTGCAAACAATTCTCCTGTAAGTGCCTCATGCTATAGGAATCCACTACTTTCCTGCCTGGCCCACAGTAAGCCAATTTTTTTTTTTAAAAAAAATCCCCTTTCTGCTCCTCATTTCAGAACATTCCCCTGGCTTCTCTTTCGCTCTTCCCATTTCTTTTTTCATTTAAAAAGCAATAAAATAGACTTTTTAAATTTACGAGCGTATGAGTTTAGGAGCAAGATCACAAGGCTTCTTTTATTGGGCCTGCTAAAACTTCCAAAGAAATGCCGGGGAAGGGGGATGGGGGGGGGAACAAGAAGCGAAGCAGAAAAGTATTCCTGATCATTTTGAATTCTTTCTTAGAATCATAGAGGTAAAGATTCAAAGGACTTTGAGATCATCTAATCCAGTTCCTTGTTCTGGGCAAGAATCTACTACAGAAATTTCGTTTTGCTTTTTGACTTACTCTTTGGGGTCTGATTCACATCACACACACTTTAAGCTCACTTAAAAGTGTCTCAATTAGCAACAGAAATTTTGGGCTCCAATGCCGTTATAAGTCGTGGATTACCTGTAAATAAACAAATGTGCTATTCTGTTTCTTACTCACATAGTGGGTAAGACAGAAGTTGGATTCCCATTGCATCCTGTATCAGCTACTTTCTTGACTTCTTGATCTGACGACATAAGCAGCTAACTGGCCCTTTTATGACCTATGGACTTCAACTGCCAGAATTCCTGACCTAGCCATGGCTGGCTCAGATATTCTGGGAGTTGAAATCCACAGATCATAATAGGGCCACAGTTCCCCACCCCTGAATTAGCGGAACATCTATGACTCATAGCCAATATTTCTATAAAAGTAAATTGAGTGACATCCCAGCTCCAGTTTCTCTCGTGCTGGCTGAGGAATTCTGGGAACTGAAGTCCAAAAGTGTTAAAATCGCCAAGATTGAGAAATGCTGATCGAGATTCAGAGATTAAAATCTACATTAAATATCCTCCTGCATCCATCACTAAAAGCCTCAACGAGTCTTTTCTCTAATTATCAAATACAGGTAGTCCTCGACTTAATGACCATTGATTTAGTGACCGTTTGAAGTTACAACGGCACCGAAAAAAGTGACTTAATGCCCATTTTTCACACCTTGCAGCATCCTTGTGGTCATTTGTTTAAAATTCGGGTGATCCACTTTACAACTGCAATGAACCATTTAACGATTGTGGCACAACGGTCATAAAATGTGGCACCACTCACGTAACGACTGCCTTGCTTAGCAGTGGAAATTTTTGGCCTGGGTTACAGTTGTAAGCTGAGGACTATCTGTATATTGTTAAGAATTCTTTTGCTTCTCATTTTTCTTGGATAAGATGAGTATCTCAAGCTTCTGTGTCCAAATTCCTGTTCTGTAAAAAAACAACATCCTGAAGTCAATAACCTATTTTATTTTTCTTTGTGGCTTACCCAAGTTATTTGTTTTTAATCTCTACTTTTCCCATCCTCTCGGTTTCTGCAGGTGTCTTTCAAGGCTGTGATGAAAATGTAATTTGGAATCAGCGCTTTTGCTGCAGGCAGAAATAACGGAGGCCTTTAAAAGGACGCCCAACTTGTTTTAGTTTAAATTGAAATCATTCCAAATGTATGTTGGACCTCAGAGCTTCTTGGGTTAAGGGGAACATCTGTGACTTTTAACCAACTTTTCTGTAGGAACAAACTTGAGCAACATCCCAGCTCAAGTTTCCCTCCCATTTATTTATTTATTTATTTTTAAAAAAATATGTATCTGAATTTCGAATAATGTTGAAATCTTCAAAAATTTCTTCCTGGTTTTGCCTGCGTCTGTATTCTTTTCTTTTTTTTTCATTCCGGCCACCTTTAAACATCAATGAAAATTTATGTACATGTGATGGTGTTCACATTGGTTTTTGGTCCGTGGCGATAATATTCCCTCCGTGTGGTGTATGTGCTTAATATTTCCATAGTGATCGGCACTTCTGCAGAAGGATACATTTGCCAACAAAAACGGAAGGAACGATGGTGGAAAAAGACGAGGTTGTAAGTTTCAGAAAGTTTTAAGAAGCAAAAAGTTGGGATATGCTACAATTGGTGCTTTGGCTATCCAAAATAGTTTGAATTTGAATTATTCCAGTTTTCCTCCCTGGCCTCATCTTGAGTTGAAAAATGAGATGTTTTGATTATTTACGAAGTGTTTTGGGTTCAAAAGTGAGGGTTTTTGAATGTGAACCAAAGACGCTTTGAGCTGGAAATATTTCCAGGGGTAGGCAACCTTGGCTCTTTTATGACTCGTAGACTTCAACTCCCAGAATTCCTGAGCCAGCATGGCTCAGCTTGGAAACCTCTCCCTTTTCCCTCAGCATGGCTGGCTCAGGAATTCTGGGAGTTGAAGTCCACAAGTCATAAAAGAGTCAAGGTTGCCTACCCCTGTCCTAAACGATCAAAACGACCTTCTGAAACGCGAGTCAGCCATTTTGTGTTCAAAGAGAGACATTTTACGGTCAAGAGAGGTCAGAATTAATGGGTTTTGCACACCACCGGTGCTGAGTTCCTCTATTTTGTAAGGCTCAAGAGCAATAAAATTAAGGCATAAATTTGGTTTTTGGTGCTTCTGCGGCTTATGAACATCCGTGTCTGCATGATATGGTCAAAACAGGGTAAGTGAATTTATGAATTGTGTGGTGTATATAAATGACGTCATTTATCAAAAACTTCAGCTGAGTTATTTGCGCAGGACATCATGGCTTGTGCTGGACTCTTGTCACATGATAGGTCTGCTCTAAACCAGGTTCTGGGCCTGTGTAAACCTGGCCTAGGCCAGCCCAGAGATCCTAGCTCTCCAGATACTTCTGAACTGGCACATTGTTTCTCCACTGTGGATTTTAGTTCGTCATTTATGTTGCGTTTTTCCTTTTGGGCATCCTCCACACGGTAATTTTAAAGAAATATTCTTTACTGTCAATGTCAAACTCTTACGAGATGTCAAACAGCACGTAGAGCACCTTACATTCTCCACAGGAGCATGACCGAAGTGGGAGACAACATGGCAAATTGGCAGAGAAGAGATTTATACCACTCAATCTCCCTGGTTCTCTGTCCCTTGCTCAGCTCTTAATTTCTTATTTATTTATTTATTATGAAATTCATTTGCCGCCTATCTTGTGTCAAACGATAAACGTTCGGATGTTCCCCAAGAAAAAGATGGCACAAAAATTGAGTTGAACTGATGATTGTTGGAAAAGAATTATGAATGGCTTTCTTTAGGACAGTGTTTCTCGACTTTGGCAAATTGAAGATGGGTGGACGTCAACTCCCATAATTCCCCAGTCAGCCTGTGGGATTCTGGGAGTTGAAGTCTACCTGTCTTCAAGTGGCCAAGGTCTTGTGTTGCCCAGGTTGAGAAACACTACCTTAGGGCAGGGGTCTTCAAACTTGGCCCTTTTATGACTTGTAGACTTCAACTCCCAGAATTCCTCAGCCAGCCTCCATTTTGTTTGTTAGATTTAAGACGGGTCTTCAAACTTGGCCCTTTTATGACTTGTGGACTTCAACTCCTAGAATTCCTCAGCCAGCCTCCATTTTGTTTGTTAGATTTAAGACAGGGGTCTTCAAACTTGGCCCTTTTATGACTTGTGGACTTCAACTCCCAGAATTCCTCAGCCAGCCTCCATTTTGTTTGTTAGATTTAAGACAGGAGTCTTCAAACTTGGCCCTTTTATGATTTGTGGACTTCAACTCCCAGAATTCCTCAGCCAGCCTCCATTTTGTTTGTTAGATTTAAGACAGGAGTCTTCAAACTTGGCCCTTTTATGACTTGTGGACGCGTGCCTGGCTGAGGAATTCTGGGAGTTGAAGTCCACAAGTCATAAAAGGGCCAAGTTTGAAGACCCCTGCTTTAGCGTGTGTTTCCTTGACATTTTTTCAGCCTCTATCCCATTTCGTCTCTCCGTTTTCTTCCCCTTTTGTTTCTTTACTTTTTTCTTTTTTTGTTATTTAAATTTTATCTTTCCATTTCTTTAACTTTTCCTTTCTTTATTCCAACTTTTTCCTTATATTTGTTATTTAAAGAGAGCTTCATTTGCTGGTCAAAGAACATCTGGGAAAAAAAGTGGTCTGTTTCCCATCCTTGCCAAAAGACATGGTCCCGTTTTTTCCTTTGTTGTCTAGGTAATTGAGAGTTAAAATGCAGCCATTCAGGGAAATAATTTGCAGAAAAGATGATACTCCATGCGGTGGGCAAAGATTTTTATGGCGTTTCTGTCAGGAGATGATGAGCAGGAGGGTTGGAAAAGTTTTATAAAAGCGATAGGGAGGAAATGCGATTTCCGGCAAAATATAAATCCGGATCATTATTTTGCTATTCCGACTTTTCTTTCTTCCAGTAGCTCATACAGTATTGGTTTCATTTGCCTGAGTATCCTTGGAGAGATTTTTTTTTTTTTAAATTAAGATTTGGAAAAACTGTTTCATTTTGTTTCTAAATATGTAAGGTGTTGTTGAAATGTCTTTTGAAATAAAAAAATAAAAATGTGGACTAGCAATATGAAAAAACAAGAGCGGGTTTTTTTGGCGGAACTGTCTGATTTCTGATAATCTCATGTGTTAAGTGGGAACATTTGCATGGCAGGTTGATAATATTTAGAGCAGAACGTAGGCAGAAAAGCAGAGTTGGAAGGGACCTTGGAGATCTTCTAGTCCAACCCCCTGCTCAGGCAGGAAACCCTCTGCCATTTTAGACAAATGGCTGTCCAGCCTCTTCTTAAAAACTTCCAGTGTTGGAGCATCCACAACTTCTGGAGGCAGGTTGTTCCACTGATTAATTTTTCTCACTGCCAGGAAATTTCTCCTTAGTTCTAGTTTGCTTCTCTCCTTGATTAGTTTCCATCCATTGCTTCTTGTCCTGCCTTCAGGTGCTTTGGAAAATAGGTTGATTCCTCCCCCTTCTTTGTTGCAGCCCCTCAAATGTTAGAGAACTGCTATCCTTCTTTTCATTAAACTAGACATACCTAGACCTAGGCCAGGACTCTTCAAACTTGGCCCTTTTATGACTTGTGGACTGCAATTCCCAGAATTCCTCAGCCAGCCTCCATTTTGTTTGTTAGATTTAAGACAGGGGTCTTCAAACTGGGCCCTTTTATGACTTGTGGACTTCAACTCCCAGAATTCCTCAGCCAGCCTCCATTTTGTTTGTTAGATTTAAGACAGGGGTCTTCAAACTTGGCCCTTTTATGACTTGTGGACTTCAACTCCCAGAATTCCTCAGCCAGCCTCCATTTTGTTTGTTAGATTTAAGACAGGGGCCTTCAAACTTGGCCCTTTTATGACTTGTGGACTTCAACTCCCAGAATTCCTCAGCCAGCCTCCATTTTGTTTGTTAGATTTAAGACAGGGGTCTTCAAACTTGGCCCTTTCATGACTTGTGGACTGCAATTCCCAGAATTCCCCAGCCAGCCTCCATTTTGTTTGTTAGATTTAAGACAGGGGTCTTCAAACTTGGCCCTTTCATGACTTGTGGACTGCAATTCCCAGAATTCCTCAGCCAGCGTGCCTGGCATTCACTCTCTTTTGACTTACCCAGTTAAGCCTTCTATCCTTAAATTGGTAGATTGTGATATTGTGATCAGGTTGTGGTCAAAAAAGGTCAAAGATGATGGCCACAACGATGCATTTGAAACTTTGTTGGGACCCGCAGAAAAAAATGGAGCCACCATCCCGACTTCTTTAACCACGCCTGGTTGCGGTGCCATCAAATCAAGTGAGTTCAGTGAATGAAAAGAAATGGAACAAAGCTGTCAAGTTTGGAGACCCCTGCTCTAGAGAGTTCTTTATCATTGCTCTCCATAAATGTTCCATAAACAGCCCTCCAACGATCCATAAGGATCCACTCCGCACTTTTCTGAAAGCAGCCAGTCCCCCAAACCAGAATTCCCCAACCTTTCCAGGTTGGCGGCCCGGAGGGGGGAAAGAGGGGATGGTTTTGTGGGAGGGGCAGTTTGAGCACACCTGCATGCATGCATGCACACGAGTACCCATTGTATGACGGGCCACGAGCCCCGCAATGCTCACACAAGGGAGGCCCCGAGTGCCTGCAACACTTGCGTGAGCGGGGATGTGCGCTTGCACATGCGCACACCAACCAGCCACTCCCGTGGCTGGGTTGCAAATAGGCCACAGACTGGTAGTGGGCTGGGGTCCACAGGTTGGGGACCCCTGCCCCAACAGCCCCTATATAATAACAAAGTCCACAGGCTAGGACAGAGGTAGGCAACCTTGGCTCTTTTATGACTGGTGGACTTCAATTCCCAGAATTCCTGAGCCAGCATGGCTCAGCTTGGAAACCTCTCCCTTTCCCCTCAGCATGGCTGGCTCAGGAATTCTGGGAGTTGAAGTCCACGAGTCATAAAAGAGCCAAGGTTGCCTACCCCTGGGCTAGGAGCATGCTCACAGGCAAGGTCCAGAGTCCCAGGTCCAGTCCACCCGGCTAAGCGAGCCCACAAGGCAAGGGCAAGGCACAAGACAAAAAACAGGAGGCACTTCTCACAGCTAGGCCAGGCAAAAGGCGACAAGGGCTCCTCAAGGCAAGGCAAAAAGGTACAAGTCAAAGCCGTACAGTTGTTCCGTACAGTTGTTCAGGATCTGGACAGACTGAATGAGGTGAATGCTCCAACACTGGACAGCCATTTGTGTGAAATGGTATAGGGTTTCCTGCCTGAGCAGGGGGTTGGACTAGATGACCTCCAAGGTCCCTTCCAACTTTATTATTATTATTATTATTATTATTATTATTATTATTATTATTATTATTATTATTATTATTATTATTATTATTATTATTATTATTATTATTATTATTATTATTTTATAATAAAAAAACTAACTCCCCATGGCTTCTCCTTAAGTCACTCTGCTTCAGTGTTCCTTGTGAGGAGTGGTGGGGCGACCTCCTCCCGACTAACCTGGCAGCCGTTCTCTGAGCTTGCCTCCGCTCCACTCTCCGTGCCCTTGGATCGAGCGGGGGAGGCAGCTGTTCCTCATCAGAGGGGATCTGCTGCCTATCAGCCCTACAGCCTGTCAGCAGCCGATCCTCCCCTGCGTCTGTGAGGGCAGGCAGCTCTCCATCCGGTCAACCACCTCCCCCAATGCCTGAGGGGCCTGGGACAGCATCGTCCTCAGCCTCTGGTGTCAACACTGCTAACATTGGATGTTCTTGCTTTGACAAAATATGCAGAGCTGTGTGGTATTTTTAGCGTTAACTTAGATGATGCTGGGAGGGGAAGAGAAAGAATGTGTGTGGGGATTAGTCAAGATAAGGAAACTGCAGGCTACAGAGAACCTTTGCCCTTCAAACTGATTGGTGAACGTGATTTATGACAGCAAATTAAGGGAGGGAAATATGCTGGCAAAATATGTGCTCAGGAGGGGAATTCAAATCTTGGCATCCTCCATGCTGTGCCGACACTTTGTTACATCATTAAAGACTTTTTAGGATAAACAATGCCTGGAAGTTCTTTGAAGTGTTCCATTAGTCGGAACCATGACACCTGGCCTCTCCAAACAGGGCCAAGGGAGACGGGCCATCCACATCAGACGGTCCCGGTTCCAACTCCTTCTCCGAACTGGGCTCTGATGGGGCCATGCACCTTTCTGGCCACAGTTATTAAGCGAATCACTGCAGCTGTTAAGTTAGTAACGCAATTGTTAAGTGAATCTGGCTTCCCCCATTGACTTTGCTTGTCAGAAAGTCGCAAAAGGGGATCACATGACCCCGGGGGACACTGCAACCGTCATAAATATGAATCAGTTGCCAAGTGTCCGAATTTTGATCACACGACCACAGAAGATGCTGCAATGGCCATATGAAAAATGAGAAGTCCCTTTTTTCAGTGCTGTAGTAACTTTGAACGGTCACTAAATGAACTGTTGTAAGTCGAGGACTACCGTACCGTGAATGCCAAAACCTCCAAACTTGTCAGATTCTGATTCTGGCTCAAGCAGCGAGATTTTAGAACTCCTGGCTGGGAATGCTGGGAGTTGAAAATTCCTATGTCTTGACCTCTGGGGAAGAAACGGCGAACGATGGCAGAATGAATAGCTGGTAAGTAGACCGGCTCGTCCTTTTCCTCTGTAAATTGTTCTGTGGCACAAAGCATTACGCCCTTTCTCGTGGATCATATCAGACACTGCCATAAATTCAGATCAAAATGAAAAAAAATGAGTATTTATTAAGGAATACAGTCAGTGAAGGGAATAAAAGTTATTCTTTTATAAATTGTAGAAATATAATTGTAGAAATGTAATTGCCATTATATGAGACTGTCTATTTAGCACAAGTGTAACACTGTAACGCAAGTGTAGCAATGCACTGCCAAGTGTGTGAGAAGATCTGTCTACTGCTTCCTGCCTATGTAAAGTGACCACAACAAAAGTAATCGGCAAAGACAATGAATGATGACCTACTTGAGTAGAGGGTACAAATAAACAAAGATAAGATCACAAAGTGGAAATTACAAATAAACAAAGAGAAGACCACAGCGGATGGACGGAAATTGCCAGGATGACCTTTTAAAATGTAAAGCAACTTCAAAGAATATAGAGAAAGGGAATGGGAGGGTTTCTTAGGCATGGCTGCATTGTAAAAGGTATAAATTGTATAGCTTGGAAACTGCTCTTTGTGCTCGTGGAACCCGATCCACTTTGGGAAGGGTCCAGGAGGCTGCGTTTGCAAACGCCTTTCTTCTCTTCTCTTCTCTTCTCTTCTCTTCTCTTCTCTTCTCTTCTCTTCTCTTCTCTTCTCTTCTCTTCTTATTATTTTTATGTTTTTCTCCAATAAAACTTTGTTTTGTTAACCAGACTTGTCTTCGTATTGCGAGTATCAAAATTTGGAGTTTTTACATCTCACAGAAGCAGGACCAGAAAGCAGGTACACCAGAAATAAACAAATGTACATTATTGTTTATACAATACAACACAGAATAACTGAGTTGGAAGGGACCTTGGGGGTCTTCTAGTCCAACTGCCTGCTTAAAGTAGGAGACCTTAAAAAACTCACTTAACAGCTGTCTTGCTTAGCAACAGAAATTTTGGGCTCAGTTACGGTCGTTAGGTCGAGGACTACCTGTAACCGATTTGGTTCAAAAGCATGAACTTTTGTGGGTTTTAGAACAGAATGCAGCTGGAAGGGACCTGGGAGGTCTTCTAGTCCAGCCCCTCGCTTAAGCAGGACAACCTACACCATCAGACAGGTGACTGTCCAGTCTCTTCATAAAAGCCTCCAGTGATGGAGCACCCACAACTTCTGGAGGCAGGTTGTTCCACTGGTTAATTGTCCTCACTGTCAGGAAATTCCTCCTTAGTTCTAGATTGCTTCTCTCCTTGATCAGTTTCCATCTGTTGTTTCTTGTCCTGCCTTCAGGGGCTTTGGAGAATAGGTTGACCCCCCCCCCCTTTTCTCTGACATCCCCCCATGCTAACCTACATTATGCTAACCTATGCTAAGCAAGTAGAGATAAATGTAACCGTCACCTGTCCACTCCCACGGTATCTTCTTCCTTGTGTGTTGCTCACCTGCCACCTGATCCTACCTGTTCAATGTCAAATTCAACCTATGCCAGACATGTCAAACACAAGGCCCGGGGGCCGGATGCGGCAAGCGAAGTGGTTTCATGTGGCCCGCGAAGCCATCCTGGAAACAGTGAGGGAATGGCCCCCGCTGCCTTGGCCCTGGCCCAGGCCAGCCGGGAGCCAATGTACAATGTTGTGGCGGCCATCTATGCTGAAACGCATTCAGTCTTAGCTCCACAAGGCCGTCTAGAAACAGTGAGGAACCAGCCCTTGCTGTGTGGGCCCTGCCCCCTGGGTGCCTGCTGGGGAGGTGTCACCCTTTGTGAGGAATGAAGAAATGGACCATGCCTTGGCACTTGCCCCGGTCCCACCCCCTTCTGCCAGAGACCCTCAGATCTATCCCACTTCTGCCCAGGCCCCCACAGGCACCCTTGACGCGAACGATGTAGAGCTGGCTATGCCCACCCAGTAGGCTACACCCACTCCATCCATGCCCACCCAGTAGGCCGCACCCACCCTGGCCACACCCCTCCACCACCACCCCGAGGGCAACCGCAATGCTGATGTGGCCCTCAATGAAATTGAGTTTGACACCCCTGACCTATGCACTTAAATGACCCGGAGCCTGTTAATAATGACATGTTTGCAGCCCCCAAACCAAGCTTGTAGAATTTCAATTGTACAACATACCGTAGTCCTCAACCTATGACCGCAATTAAGCCCAACATTTCCATTACTAAGCAAGATATTTGTGAAGAGAGCTTTGCCCCATTTTATGACCTTTCTTGTCAACGATTGTTAAGTGAATCGCTGCGGCTGTGAAGTTACTAACACGGTTATCAAGTGAATCTGGCTTCAACATTGACTTTGCTTGTCAGAAAGTCGCAAAAGGGGATCATGTGACGACACCCCCCCCCCAGGACACAGCGACCACCGTATCTATGATCCTGTTGCCAAGCTTTTGAATTTTGTTCACATGACCACGGGGATGCTGCGACAGTCGTAACTGTGAAAAACGGTCATAAATCGTCGCAACTTTGAACGCCACGAAACAAATGGTTGTTAAGTCGAGGAGTATCTGTATTGTAATAAGCTTGAATGGATAGACATTTGCTTCTGAGTAGCTTCGTTTTGTGGGAAGTCAGCCCCCCAGAAAAAGGAAATATTAAAAGGGCAGAAAAATATATTTCCTCAAAGGATCTTAAAGAGGCAGAAAAGCATGACCACTTTTTCTTAATAGCCCCAATTCTCCCTTCCCCAAGCAGAAACCAGCTCTGTAGAAATGCAGATGTAAACCATTCAGGAAGGTTGAAGCTAGAAGATTAAGAAGACAAAGACACCTAAAATCTACATACCCCACCCAAACTCTAAGACAGGACATAATAGAATTAACTCACAGATTCCAAAGGGCACACCCAGACTCAGGTCAGAATACATGACACAGGAAATACAAACAGGAAACAACTCCAAACCAAAGGCTCCAGGGGGTATAAAAACCCACTCCCTACATGTGCTCGCTCCCTTTTCTTCCAGAGCCATCTTTCTGTCTGGCTCTCCTCTTCAATAAACTGCAACCTTCTTTCTAAAGCAGTCGCCATGTTGTTTATTCCCGGCTTGGACTGAACCATGATGAAGACTTTTCCTTCAACAGTTTTATGCATTTTGGAGACAAATAAGATGCACAAAGATGGTCCCGGAAGATTGAGGACATCTAAGAGCTTAAGTGAGAAGACGTGAAATGATTCCAAAGTCTTTCTCTCTTGCTCCATCAACTCCATCTGGCGACTTAGCGTGGAAAAGCACAGAGGTTATACGGGAAGGGCTGGCGGATGGCCCCTGTGATTTCCCCAAAGCTGATGTCCTTTACTCCTGGTGGGAGCTGGTACTTGAACGAATGGAGAAGGTTGGTGAAGAAAATGAAGAGCTCAACTCGGGCCAGGGACTCCCCCACACAGGTACGGCGCCCTGCGAGGGAAGGAGGAAGCAAAAGCCATTGGTTTAAGGGAGGGTTTGAAAACAAAAGGAAGCACATTTCAAATGAAATCGTACTCTACCTAGATATTTGCTTTTTTACATAGCTGCCAAGGAATAATGATTATGAATTAAGGACGGCCACCTTAAATGAAGCATAGATGGGGGAAAAGAGCCAAACTTCTAGAGAAGAATTAGTAACTTACAATGGTGGCTGGATCTCTCTCTCTCTCTCTCTCTCTCTCTCTCTCTCTCTCTCTCTCTCTCTCTCTCTCT